TCTACTATCAAAATAATCGTTTCTGGCAGCCCTACTTTGAAATTCATGCCTCATGAGTACATGTAAGCTTGTGACCACAAGGATAGGTAACAAAGGAGACTGAAGGAAAATGGTTGGACAAAAGTGACAAGCACAAAGAAAGGTAACATGATGCACCTGTGAGCTTCTCTGCAATAGGTTTAAACTCCTCCGGACTGAGATAGAAGTCGTGGTCCGTGTCTAAAGAGGAGAAGAGAAAAAGCCCCTCGGCACCCAGTGTCCGAACACTCTCTTCCTATTGGAGGGACACATGCATTAGACTGATCTTCACGGTCAATTCATATGCTTTTTTTTAATGCAGCATAAAAAATATTAGGACATTAAGACCCCATCACATGAAATGCAAATATTTTAAATTATTACAACTACAAAAACATTCGCTCAGATGTGTGACACATTTAAAGTAATGTGCTACATTATCCCAAATGACTGAGCATCCTGCCTGGATAAAGATCATCCCTGAGGAGGCAGATTCCTAGCATGCATTTCAGTCAAACCACCCTTTCTGAAGCAGACGCGTGCCTACCAGTGACCTTACAATGGAGGGAAGAGGGGGAGGGAGGTGCAAGAACAACTTGGAGACCCTCAGTAACCAAACAAGTCTGGATTTGGACAAGGGGGTGAGTTTTAGCAGCTGTGACAAAGACCCACCCCCCTATAATAAAACACTACGGGGGTGGAAAAACTGCAGATGTGGAGCTTTATGGTGACTGCGTGTCCGCTAAATAAATAATCGAAACACATCGGTTACAGAGAAAACTACTGCAAGATAACAGCAGAATGTCCCTGCGCTGATTTTAATGTAATCATGGGTCCTCAAAAGGACGAGAAGGTCACTGCAAAGTTTCTATTAACACAGCTAGACCCACCAAGTCGAGATCACTGTTAAACTGTGATATAACATAATTACAGATTTGGGTCTTACATGACGTTTGAGGAGCTGGGCATCTTGGTAGTACTTTATCCCAAAAGCGAACAGAGGAACAGCACAGACGACCACCCAAGTCCACATCCCCCTGTAGATCCAGGATCTCGAGCCCGGGCTCTGCTTCCCATTCTGCGGCGCAATCTTTTTCTCTTCCTCCGGGATTCTTTTATCTACGTCTGCGGCCATCCTCGACCTCCACCACAGCTATTTAGTCGAAGGCATGTTCGTCTTTCAGTGTAAACTTGCTCTTTTAAAAAGTGCGACGAGTCTAGCGGGACTTTTTCTGTCCCGCAGGAGAGGATCTCGCTTCTTCTCTGGCCGTTACCCCCGCTGGCAACAGCTGTGCAACGTTAGCTAGCAGCACAGATTTCTTATTTCCCACATCCAATCTCGAGCCATATGGATGCAGTTAAGGTGTCAAGCTAGCATGTAATTGGCACGGTAAAGCGGATGTATAGTGTTTTGGCGTTCAAAATAAAAGCGCGAGAGTGTCGTAATGTAGCAATTCTTTGATGATATTATGATCAACTTGTTTTGAATTCAAATATTTTTTTTAGCAAAATGCCAAAGTTGTTGTTGGTTACTGGCAAAAAAGAAAAACTCAATTAAACTAAGCTAAGCGCTACGATTTATTTTGAAAGTAATAACCGGAAGTATAACTTTACAATCTTTCTACTGGGTACACTGGGGCACTAGCTGTATTTAAAGACGTAGGGTTGCATTGTTCACGCAACAATGCAACTGTTTTATAATGAGTTAAATTATAAATGTATCTGCCAAATGGCTCTGTCCAAAATTTAGATTTTACTTACCTTTATTTCATGTAAGTTAATCTAGAAGCAGAGGTTTAACATTTGTTTCTTTTTATCTTCTCTTTAATGGTTAGATTTGTCTGCAATAGAATTAAACACTCCATTAAAACTATCAAACCTTTACTTTGATGCTGTGTCATAAGCTTTTTGCTTAAAGTGAAAATCTCCGCTCTTACTTTTAAACAGAAAAATCAATTCATGTATCACTTAATTAATTGGGTTATCTTAAATGCATTGACGGTTTGTATTTATTTATCTGCTGCTTTGTAATATATACATTGCGGGGATAAGGGTCCTGTTCAAGAGCCAAGCTCAGCAGAGCTGGGGTTTGAACCTATAGCTATAGCTGATCTATGGACACCTCCTCACCTCAAAAGGTGGCATATGAGTTACGAAAATCCATGGGTTTATAAATGTAAATGTATTTATCATTGATGTACAATAGGCCCATTTAAAAGGTTACTCCCCCAAGCAAAAGGCACTAAAGTAGCCTTATCTCACACAGAATCCTCAACATTTTAGTGCAATATCAATTCAGTGCCACAGGATTACAGGCCTGTGGGACGTTGTGAAGACCCTGGAAAGACTTATCGTTGCCCAGCCCCGACCCAGTCAGGCCACATCAGAATCCCCTTGAGTTTGCTTGCCAGCCCCACCTCAGAGCTGAGGGCGCCATCATCTAACTGCTCATTCTTGTCTACGCCCATCTGGGCCAGCCGGTGAGACCTGTGAGGGTCATGTTTTTCAACTTTTCCAGTTCATTCAATACCATCAGGTCAACCCTTCTGAGTGATAAGCTGACAGTGATGCAGGTGGATGCATCTCTTGTGTCCTTGATTGTTGATTACCTTACAGGAAGACCACAATATGTGCGTCTTTAACATTGTGTGTCTAACAAGGTGATAAGCAACACAGGAGCACCTCCCCTTCCTCTTCACCATCTATATTACAGACTTCAGCCACTGCACAGAGACCTGCCATCTTCAGAAGTTTTCTGATGATTCTGCAGTGGTTGGATGCATCAATGAGGGTGATGAGATGGAGTACCGGGCTGTGGTTGACTCCTTTGTCACTTGGTGTGAGCAGAATCATCTCCAGCTCATCATCTATGTGTACACCATACCTTGGTGTACTCATAGAAAACACCAAACACCACTGCACTCTACAGTAAGGTCCAGAGTTGTCTCCATTTTCTGAAGCAGCTGAGGTCTTTCAATATCTGTCGTGCAATGCTCAGGAGTTTTACAAGTCTGTTGTGGCCAATGCCCTCCGCTACGCTGTTGCATGCTGGGGCAGCAGGTTGAAGGTTGCAGATGGCAACAGGCTCAGTAAACTGATCCACAAGGCCAGTGTTGTGGAGACGGAGCTGGACTCCCTTAGGGTGGTGTTGGAGAAGCGGATGTTGTCCAAGATAAGGACAATGCTGGACAATACCTTTGCACGCACTCCATGACCTGCTGGCCAGTCACAGGAGCACGTTCAGTGAGAGACTGAGATTACCCAAATGCACCACTGAATGACACAGGAAATCATTCCTGCCTGTACCTGTCTCTTTGTACAACTCCTCCATCTAATGCTGATGATAAACTCTGACTTTCGCATCTGGAGCCCAAAGGAGGACTAAAGAGCTACTTGTCTCTCTATGTGTGTCCATTACTCCTGAATGGCCAAGAACCTTACAGCGGTATATTCCAGTATTCTTTCTCTGGAACTTTATTTTGTGGTTTTTCTGTTGTTTTAAAAGGTACAGATTAAATGTCTTCAGTCTGTGTATCACAGTGTCCCTGAGAAAAATACTGAACCACAAACTGCCCTCAATACACGCACAGGTGTGTGTGTGACAAGATAAAACCACTGAAGTGCAAATATAAATGTGAACAGGTGAATGTGGGTTTTCATATACAGTCAGGTCAATAAGTATTGGACAGGTCAATATGTTGTTATGGTAGTTTTTCCTCTGTACACCGCCACAATGGATTTTACATCAAGTTAAGCTGTGATTAAAATGCAAACTTCCAGCTTTCATGTGAGGGATTGAACAAAAGTATTGCAGTAAATGCTTAGGAATTATAGCCAACTTTATACAATAATTGGACACCTGATATACCTGATTATTCTATTAAAAATGAATAAAAGACCTGCAGTTTATTCCAATTTTTCAACTTGCATTTGGTAGCTGGTCACTGGATTTCTCGATATGAGGCCCAGAGAAATTATCAGGGAGGCTATGATTAGCTGAAAAGCCAGAACAAACCTATCAGAGTGGGAGCTAAAACTTTAGGGTTGACCAACCTGGTACAGTTCTGCAGGGGGAAAAAATGCAGTGACCAGCTCAGAAACGCAAAATGCCTGAAAAACCACACAAGACAAATACAGCGGAAGATCGCAGTTACTGCCTTGCTTCAGAATCCCCTTCACGACAGCTATTTAAGTCAAGAGCACTGTTGAGGAGGAAGGAATATCATTATGAAAGTCTACAATCAAAAGATGACTTCATGAATACAGGATTTACAATTAAGTGAAACCCACTGGTTACACTCAAGAACAGGAAGACCAGATTAGGCTGCAAAGGAAAAAAAATTGTCGGAAAGATGAAACCAGTGAGATAAAAGTATGGAGAAAGATCTACACTAAACCACATTATTTTTCAAACATGGTAGAGACAATGTTTCGGCATGGGCATGTATGGCTGACAGTGGAAGTGTCTGCTGATAGAAGTAGCAGAATGAATTGTGAAGTGTACAAGGCTATACTATCCGCTCAGATTCAGCCAAATACTGCAAAACTGATCAAAGCTTCACAGATTCACAGTAAACGGATTCTTGCTCAACGCATACTTCAAAAGCAACCCAAGCGTTTCTCAAGACAAACATATGGGATATTTTTCAATCCGTCACCTGATTTCAACCTAACAGATTAGCTTTTCGGTAATTAAATTCAAAACTGAATGAAGAGACTCACAAACAAACAGCCGAAGGTGGCTACAGCACTGGTAACGCTCATGGACTGTAGATTTCACACAGCCATCGAGTGCCAAGAATTTCCACTGAAGCATTAAAAATACTCCTGATATTTAAAATTACGATAGTTTGCTCAGTTACTACGCCACTGAAAATAGGGGACTACGTGTGAAACCCAGTGCCTCCAACTAAAGCACAAGCACTCCAACTGTGTCATTCCCAATCCTTGTGACCTGTAAAATGAGACATGATGATATGATCTCTGTGCAGTGTTGTCTCAAGATTGTTTAATTAAGAACATTTAGAAGTTTAACGAGGTATAAGTTAGCCTGGTCGCAGACATCTGAATCACTATGCACATCTCCAATTCCCTCCATTTGAAGCAGTAACAAAATAAGGTCTACAGTACACAGCAGAATTACATTTTCTATCAATAGTCAAACTTAGTTAACTGTCCAGTATTTTAAATGAACAACTAGAGTGAAAAATAAATATTACTTTGTGTACAGAAATGCATGTTTTCCTCTATTTCTTTGTCTGGTAAGTTCAGGTACAGCTCTAACTGCACTGCTGTACTCCACATGTGTAATGTGACTTAATCAACTCCACAAAATTTATTATTGTAGAAAACATTCCACCATCCTTTGTATTTACATAGGCAGACAATGCATCTGATTGTAAGGAGAAGTCTTCTGAACTTGGTGATGGAAGTTTAACAACCACGTTTCTCACAGCTGGCTGAAAAACAAACATTATCTGTCACAAAAGGCATTTTCAGATTTGCTACTAAAGTATGTGACAACAATAACTGCAAGCATTAACTGCTAATGCCTCTTTTATGAGTTAATCAGTCTGTGGATTAATGTCAGAGGCTTTCATTCCATGTCCTCCTCTAATGGTTGGGTCTTCACTTCAACAACTTTTGGAGGGATGTATGAGCCCATGCCTGCTGCTCTCTCTGCCTCTTCCTGGGTGTAGGGCTCTTCTCTGAGCTGTTTCAGTCTGGATGGGGAAAAAAGGAGGTAAGCCATGAAACTTACATGGATAGGATTACGAGCTGTAAGTCCAAATATGTGACTGTAGAGTGGTCCGCTTACCGTTTTTTATGCACTTTAGTTTTGAAGTGCTCTTTCAAGGATCTCATATCCACAAAATATCTCCTGCAAAACAAGAAGAGCCATCACATTAAAATAAAATCTATATTTCTTAAAAATTTAACAGATGAACAGCTCACAGCATAAGAGAGTATAAGAAGAGGGCATTTCATTTTAAGGAAGCCATGAGGATCTGGAACCCTGGATTAGGACTGAAATTTGCTCGAATCATTCATCATTGGGTACGCCACCCTTTTCCAGCTGAGACCTGTGGCCTCAGACTTGGACAATACAGAATATTTCTCCATTCCAGCTTTTCATATGGGAAGATTTACTTCTTTTCCAACCCCAATGGGAAAAGTTCGGCAGAACTTAAGGTGAAATATTAAATATCTTACTAAAGGAAATACTGATGAAGACTAAGAGTTTAGTAAGCAGCATATATATCAAGCAAAGTCAGTTAACAGATGGACTGTTACAGTAAACAGAGAAATACCTACGCGCAGTGTAAGCAGTAGTGTTGTGCACATCCGGTTACATCGTAGTCAACCTCCTGATGCAGCAGTTTAGCAGCCGTGTCAGGCTTCATGTCTGAGTGGATCTGATCCAGGTCTTTGGTCCTGCGCTTTGTCTTCCAGGTCTTTGCAATGTTCTTCTTCTTGCCATTGTTGTGGTTTCGGGTTTGTTTGGACTTCCCCATGATAACCAGTTGGTACTGTGTGAAACAAAAGGGTTTTAAACACCCAAAATGAACGCAGACACGTCACAGACTTGTGTCAACATTAAAATCTTTCGATTGTTTCACTGATACTTCCCAGTTAATATTCTTAGAATCTATTTACAAATACCGATCAAAAATATGCGTTCAACGTCTAATCAATCGTTACTGCATCCGATCTACATCTAATAAGCCGTCGCAGATGTTATTTTCAGACTTTGCTTACCTTCCACACGTGTGACCGAGAGAAGTGAAATCTATTTCCGGGTCAATGGAGTAGAACGATACTACGCAGTCACCTCCAGAGGGCGCGAAACTCCCGGTCTCTAACAGTGGGGCGATAATAAAAACACCTTAACTATTTTAATTTAAACGCTAACAAAATTATATTTAATCGTAATTCACTTCAGATTAACATTTATTTTCCTAGAATATCGGATTTTTACTAATAGCGCTAGCTGAGCACTTATTTGGCATGCAGTTTTAGCGAAAAATTGCCACCGAAGTTGAATAAAGTTGAATAATATTTGATCAACCAATTATTACGATTTTTTTTTTTTGGGGGGGGGGGGTACAGTGCAGTTGATTTTTTTCTGGTCTGATAAACTGTCAGGTGTGTTATGCTCTATGTCACGCTACCTTTTGGTGCTTTGCGTAACTATCAGTGTCAGTGTACCACCCGAGAAAAACTGTAATAAAGGTTATTATTTTCAGACTGAAAAAAATAGAATAGAAAGAGATGGATGTAAGAAAAAGCACACAGAGCTAAAATCAAGCAGAATAACTGAATTACTGTTCGCATAAATTTAGAGAGCAAAGTTTATATTGGATAGAAAATAAAGTATATCGATATTGCGGTTAAAAAGGAATAGCAACAACGGCCTGAATATAACAGTACAAGCCCACTTTGTATTTCTGCTCTTACCACCCCCTCTACTTACTTTTCAGGTGATCTTGGTGTCAGTTCAGCTGATGTATTTAAATATTCCGACAGCATTGAATGGGGTCGTCAGACTGCACTGCATACGCGCTGTGGTGGAGAGTGAAGATGGCGGAGAATAATGTCGAACCAGAGCACGAATGGAGCGACTGGGCCCTGGACACGGCCGAAGATACCCTAGTTGCAATGGAAAACCTGCTGGCCACACTGAGAGCTTTCGAGGACGTCCTCAGGCAACAAGAAATCTCCGTAGCGTCTTCCACGGAGTACTGCGATAACTTCTGTCAGGTAATGTGTACATGCAGCATCGAAGCTACAATTAGCCTATCGTTAGCTCACCGAGGACTGTTTTTTTTCCCTCTCGCATCCCGCAAGCAGAATTACCAGCAACGATTGCTGGCCTGTTAGCTAACTGGCCAAGTTTAGGTTAGGATTACACCCAATTGCAGTACGTTTATTTTTGCGCATATTTGCATATGCTTTTGTGTTTTTTGTCATTATTATTATTATTATTTTTACACCCAAACAACTCACGGCCGTTGGACTTATTTGCAGCTCAGTGATTTGTTGCTCAATTTGCAGGTTCGAGTCGCCTTACATTCAAAGATCAAAGGTCTTTTAGCTTTGCTTTATTTGGGAAGTGATTATGGTGGCAACGAAGAAAATGTAATACAGATGTTTGTATGAATTTATTGACACAGTTTGCAGATCATGTATTACTGCATGCCTGTGGGGCGGGGCAGCGTCGAGATATGTTTATCATAATATTTTTGTTGTTGGGGGGCGTTTAGCTACTAAGGAGTGTTGCATTTTGACCACTTTCAAGAAAATACGCTTTTCCTGTGCTCTTGAAATGTGACAGTTTCTAAACCTGCGCATCTGTCAGTTACGACAATGGAGATTTTTAGTCTCCCTTAAAGAAATCTTAGATTGGAGTCCAGTTAAAACACAAATCTAGTCGTCATGGTAGGGAAATTACTGTGGCTTCCGCTTTCTAAAGGATCTGATTTAACTAAAAACTAGGTATCACTTTCATTTTTGCTGCTTAAGGGACTCTGCAAGTTTTTCAACCATTAGAGAGCTTCCCTTGAAACCTGTTCAGCAGCCTTTGAGAATGGTATAGCAGGAGTAATTCATTAGCTAGTTCACCCTGACAGGTCTGCTTTTGAATATTTCTCAATGATTTCAACAGCTCTAACTTCCCCCTTATAAGTAAGTTGAAAGATTGTATGCGTTCCCATGTTTGGTGTTGGTAACTGTGTAAAATGACACTTGATTTAACACTAAAACTCAATTTCAGTACAGTTTTAACTTCAATCTTCCAGGTTTTCGTAAAACAAAGGCAAAAAGATCTGTGTGACTCCCAATTCCAGTCGGAAATCTCAGGGATGTAATTAGTACACTGATGTAGGTCTTTAGGGCCTAGACTTTATTCCTACCTTCCTTTGAGAGGGTACTGTATATTTAGACAGAGGGGAATTAATTTAGTGCCTCTGTGGGCACGAGAACCACCTAGAAAAGTTCCTTCTATCTGGCAAATGAGACTCCTGGGATGCTGATAGCGCTATGATGATTTAATGTGTATACCCACCAACTACAAGCAGGTGACAGATGGGTGTAGATGTTGACTTCTCTGTTCCTGAAGGACAGCTGATCGCTGAGTATTTGCGCGAAACGAGACCTTCCTCCCTGTTAACAGTAAATGTTGAGTTATATAAAACACCTGTTTCTTGTAGGTAATATTAATTTAATTAATTGAATTTGATTCTGTTTTAAATTGTGTGAAATTATACCAGGTTGAATCATCCCAAGAACTCAAATTTAATGGTCATATACAGTATGAGATCATTATGTATGTGTGATGATCATGTACTGTATGAAGTCTTCCTTCCTTTTTTTGTTTTAAAGCAACAGTTAAGTCCCCTCAGGCCCAATCTGGAGCACAGCAGGCACACACCAGACAGTGTGTCAGCTGGGATCAATCAGGTATAGACAGGCATCTCCCTAAGGTGAAAACCTTTGATCATCCATGGCAAATGCTTCCTCTTCTGGTTGTAGTTTTTGAACATTGCTACTACATATTTCTACTCTACTTTCAAATCTGCTTCATCAACAATTTTTTTCAGTTTCTGATGCCTTTGTGTGTCTTTGCAGGCACTGATGCACTATGCTGGAAGCAGGAATTCCATGGAACATGGGCTGCCTCTTCTGGAGGTCTACTGTCTGTCCATAAACTGCTTTGCTTCAGCTCGATCCCACCTCACGGCAGAGTCCGACAGAGTGGCCCTCGTTTTGAAGCGGCTAGCTTTGTGAGTACTGTAAAATATACTGAATTATGAGAGATAAGCAATTGATTATCTCATGAGAATGTGTGCGAGGTGTCATAGGTGTCAAAGTAGTTTGAATGTCTGGTTTATGCATGGGAGCAATTTGAAATCATTTCAATATAACTTGTATAGACAAAGGCTATACGTATTGTGTGCATGTGTAATAGTCATATCACAACAAATGTCATGTCAGGTATATCAAACTCAGTTATTATGCTTTGAAACAAAAGGAATACCAACATGTTTTTTTACTAGTGTAACTTAATGTTTTTGGATACACAGCCTTTTTTTTTTAAATTTTAACATTACAAAAATCGCCTCGTTTCGCGCCGACAGAAATGCAGCTCTGTGCGGTAAGACTCGCGGTGGCGGCTTGTGTGTTTACATCAACGAGAAATGGTGCAAGAACTCTGTGCTAGTCTCTAGTTATTGCTCATCGCTGGTGGAGTTTGTGACTGTTAGATGCAGATCTTTTTACTTACCACGGGAATTCACCACTGTTTTCATTATCGGAGTGTACATTCCACCTAGCGCTAATGCTAAGGAAGCGCTATGGGAATTGTATACAAAGATCAGTGAACTGCAAAATACACACCCGGATGGACTGTTTATTGTTGCTGGGGACTTCAACCATGCAAATCTCAAGTCAGTGCTTCCTAGATTCCATCAGTATGTGGACTTTGCAACGAGGGGAGAAAACACGCTAGATCTTGTTTACACAAACATCCCCGGCGCATATCGGGCAGAGCCCCGCCCCCACCTCGGCTACTCAGACCACATCTCTGTTATGCTAATTCCAGCATACAGACCACTCGTCAGGCGATCAAAACCGGTTCTGAAGCAGGTGAAAACCTGGCCAGCAGGAGCCATCTCTGCTCTTCAGGACTGTTTTGAGAGCACTGACTGGAACATGTTTAGAGAGGCTGCAACTTACGGCGACTTCACTGACTTGGAGGAGTACACATCATCAGTGTCCAGCTATATCAACAAGTGCACCGATGACGTCACTGTCTCCAAGATCATCATCTCACGACCCAACCAGAAACCGTGGATTACTGCGGAAGTGCGTGCACTTCTAAGGACCCGAGACTCTGCCTTCAAAGAGGGAGATAAGGTGGCGCTTAGAAGAGCGAGGGCTGAACTTTCTCGGGCCATCAGAGAGGCGAAGCGCGCACACGCCCAGAGAATCCACAACCACTTTAAGGACAGCGGCGACACACGACGCATGTGGCAGGGCTTACAAGCCATCGCTAACTACAGGACGACACCACCTGCCTGTGACAGTGACGGCTCCCTCCCAGATGTGCTTAACAACTTCTATGCTCGGTTCGACAGGCAGAACGACGTGGCGGCGAGGAAGACCACCCCTCCTCCGAACGACCAGGTCCTGTGTCTCACTACAGCTGAGGTGAGGAAAACTCTACGCAGAGTCAATCCACGTAAAGCTGCTGGACCAGACAACATCCCAGGCAGAGTGCTCAGAGAATGTGCTGATCAGCTGGCAAATGTTCTCACTGACATCTTCAACATCTCTCTGAGCAGTGCCGTTGTCCCCACGTGCTTCAAGGCCACGACCATCGTCCCCGTGCCCAAGAAGTCTTCTGTGTCCTGTCTCAATGACTACCGCCCTATCGCACTTACACCCACCATCATGAAGTGCTTCGAACGGCTCGTCATGAGACACATCAAGACCCTGCTGCCCCCCTCACTGGACCCAATGCAATTTGCATACCGCCATAACCGCTCAACGGACGACGCCATCTCCACTGCACTCCATCTTGCCCTGACACACTTGGACAAGAAGGACTCACACGTCCGAATGCTGTACATAGATTTCAGCTCAGCATTTAACACGATCATCCCCCAACAACTGATCGGAAAGCTGAGCCTGTTAGGCCTGAACACCTCCCTCTGCAACTGGATCCTGGACTTTCTGACCGGAAGGCCTCAGTCAGTACGGATCGGGAACTGCACCTCCAGCACCACCACACTGAGCACTGGGGCCCCACAAGGCTGTGTGCTCAGTCCTCTGCTGTTCACACTGCTGACTCATGACTGTGTAGCAACACACAGTTCAAATCACATCATTAAATTCGCTGATGACACGACCGTGGTGGGTCTCATTAGCAAGAACGACGAGTCAGCGTACAGAGAGGAAGTGCAGAGACTAACGGACTGGTGTAAGGACAACAACCTGTCTCTGAATGTTGACAAGACAAAAGAGATGGTTGTTGACTTTAGGAGGACACGAGGCGACCACTCACCGCTGAGCATCAACGGCTCCTCTGTGGAGATCGTTGACAGCACCAAATTCCTGGGTGTACACCTGGAGAAGGACCTCGGCTGGTCCCTCAACACCAGCTCCCTGCACAAGAAAGCCCAACAGCGTCTCTTCTTTCTGAGAAGACTGAGAAAGGCCCGGCTTCCACCACCGATCCTGACCACCTTCTATAGAGGAACTATTGAGAGCATCCTGAGCGGCTGCATCACTGTCTGGTTTGGGAGCTGTGCCATATAAGACCGCAAGACCCTACAGCGGATAGTGGGAACAGCAGAGAGGATCATCGGGGTCTCTCTACCCTCTATTGAGGACATCTACACCACACGCTGCATTCGCAAAGCCACCAGCATTGTGGCTGATCGGACACACCCCTCTCACACACTCTTTACACTCCTGCCATCTGGAAAAAGGTACCGATGCATTCGGGCACGCACATCCAGACTGTGCAACAGCTTTTTTCCACAAGCCATCCGTCTCCTCAG